CCACCCACCCACCCGCCTGTAACTCTCATTTGCAGCTCTCACCCCCAGCCTGCTTGCCTGGGACTCCTGCCTCTTCCTCATCGTGATCACAGAGTGAGGTCCTCGCTTAATGACCTGCGCAATCCTGGTGTTACGACGACAACAGGGACTGCTGGGATTGCTGTTGTTAAGCGATGCAGTCAGGTGACGTCACGCTTTACGACCGCATCGCTTAGTGATGGAAACTCCAGTCCCAATCGCCATCGTAACCCAAGGACTACCTGGTAGTGGATTCTTTTGTAAATTGCTTTGAACATGTTTGGAAAAGTGATACCTTAGAAGTCACTTGCTGATTGCAGTAAAGTAGCTTTCCCTGTCCTCACCCTGCTGGATGTCAATCAGCCTAATCATTTGCAATCCTGGCTGGGAATTTGGGGAGGAGTTGCCACAGCAGATCTGAAGGGGATTCCAGCTGGGGTTGATATGATCAAAATAATGAATAAATAATACTGTTATTACACTAAGATAGCCCACTCCCCTCTTATACCAGAGCCTTGTCCTGAGTTTCCTCCTGGAGGTCTGCACAAGGCTCATGGGCTTAGTGTGTTTCGATTTGTATATATACTTAGAGTCATTGTTGAAAACAAGATGCAAAATTTACATATTTTATTTGTTTATGCAATTCGATGCTGCACGACTCCAAATGACTCCGGGTGGCTCACGATATGCCAAAACCACATAAAAACAATATAAGAGAAACAACCAAGCAACAAAACCCAACCAAAGCAATATATTAACGTTGATGCACATTTTTAGAACGTTGAACTTCAGTTTCAGCCCTGATGTCCAGATTGGGCAAATACGTAAGAGAGCCTCTGCTTAAGAACTCAAGAGGCACAATATTGTCTGACTCTGTTGGTGGCATTGACTTCATATTGGCTTGGAAAAAGGCAACAGTAGGGCTTGATATAAAATTAGCACAGTCTTAAGCCTCCCTTTCCTGGTCTGGACATCTCAGGGAGCCACATTCCAGATTTTCAGCGGCCATGTACACCCCTATGGGTTTGCCCACCCCTCACCCTCGCTTTTCCGAGACCTGTGGAAAAGGCGTTGGATGCAAATTGAAAAAGCTTTCTTGGGTAGTCCTTCTGCGAGTAGAATTACCCACTGTACAATCCAGATTCCTGCTTCTGTTTTATTTAGATCAATGTGCTCTTCTCGGCTACCTTGCTGATTCTCCAGCCGCTGTTTCTGCAGAATAATGACCCCTCTCTAAGAGAAAAGCGAGGTTGGCTTGTTTGCAGCCTGTACACAATATACCTGAATGAATTGTCCTCTGGGGATGGAACTGCCCCAACCTCCTACCCATCCCACTTTAGGTTTTAAACAGGGTTGGAAGCAAGAGTCAAAGGCTACGGCTCTTAAATCACCACACCACCCAGGCAGCAGCTGTTTGAGATTTATGCTCAAGAGCCCAGTTCTTGTGTGCAGAAGAGAGAAACAATTTGCCCTTGAATTACAGACAGACACAGAGAGGGAGAGAGAACAAGAGGAAGCAGGTGGCAGAGTGGGGGGCGATTCCACTTTTATTTTCTTTCTTTGGGTAGCAATCTGATTCTGGGGATTTGCAGCACAGCGATGACAAAGATTGGAGGAGGATGTTGTTACTATACGATTGTGGCACCCTGGGCCAAAGGTTCAAGGAGATGTAGACCTTTTCTTTGATGCAAACTGATCAGTGCCTAGAGTTAAGCAATGCACTTAAAAATAATGAAAATACAGACGCATGAGCTTTACTTGGGTGGTGGGGAGGGCGGTTGGGGAATATTGCTGTTCAGGTTGCATTTTAAGAATCTGAGTTCTGGCCGTAGAATCTTTGCTTAAGATTTGGGCAGCCAAAGGACCAAGTCAACGAAAGACATTGTTTTGTGTTTGCGCGTTGTCTGTTGGGAGAAGCTGTGATTTGGTGGGAATGGAGCATGTGTCTTATACTGGGGTTCTCCACTGAAAAAGTGGAAGATGGTGAGAAATATTACCAGCCAGTGCTGGGCTGAATGGACCCAGGGGTATGTAGCATAAGGAATACGACTCTCTGGATACTACTGTATGGTAGTACCATGGAATTTATACCAGTCTGGTTAATCCAGAGTTTTCTTTCTTCTGCCTAGTTCCTTCCTTTCTTCTGGGACCAGGGATGGGTATCCAAGTTCATGGATATGCTTTCAAGGGGAATCAGATGTTTGAGTGCAACTACATAGCCCATGGATCCTTGATAGTCCAGACGTAGACCCCACATTCAAGGCTTCCAAGTTGGAGCTCTAGAGCTTCTTTCAATGAATGAAAAGTAAGGGGTGCCTGATCCCTAACCAAGAAGTCTCAGTCACTCACACAAAGCACCTGCTTTTTATCGTACCTTCTACTTGGTGTGTTCCTTGATGGGGTTGGTAGGGCTGTGTGTGACAAGAGGAGATAACAAGGGCTGTGTTTGATAACATCGTCAACCTGGAATGAAAGACTGTATGGGTTGAGTGGTATTCGGTTAGAAGGAGGACAAAGAAAAGAAGAATTTGGCATGCGTGATTTGGACCACAGGCAATCTGCCAGGGAATACAAGCTACCTATGAACCTCATTATTTGCTTGTATTCCCTTGTATTTGCAGCCTGGTATCAAAGCTGCAAAGTCATTATAGTCAATTCCCGGTGGGATTTAGATAATGACCAGAAGGCTCTAATTGGAGTTATCATATGCTCCATAATTCACCCTCAATATCACATCCACCCATATGGATGTGAACCCAAGGGTGGGTGGGTGGATGGATTTATTTATTTATTGACTTTGTACTCCTGCCAAATATTCATGTCCAGAGCTTCCAGAGCCTCTTACACTAGTAGCAAACACACAAGGAAAAAAAGAGCCACAGGAATAGCCCCCCAATACCCCACCCCAAACAAAAACAAAACACAACCCCGTTTAAAGAATAAGCCCGAACTGTTAATTAATTCACTAGTGGCAGTCACTCTCCAAAGACCCTCCAGAGAAGCTTGATTTTTATCAGTTTCCACTATGACTGAAGGGGCTAGATTCACTCCTGGGGGGAGACTGTTCCACAGTGTTGGTGCCAGAACTGAAAAGCAATGTTTTATGGTCTCAGCCCCTCCACCCTCACCTCACGAAATGGGCACCACTAGCAGATTCTTCTCGGAGCCTCATCTCAAGTAAGTCAACTCTTGGCTGAGTAAGTGGGCCTGCCATATAGGGCTTCAAATTTAAACACATTTAAAGTTATTTATTTATTTAAATGATTTATGTGGGTGTCCAACTCATCAATAGCAACTTGGGCAGGGAATGTAAGGTAAGCATAATCAAATAATGACCAACAGAAAACATACAAACACTGAAAACAGGAGAAAAACAGGTTTTCATGGTCTTATGGAAGGGGAGAATGCTGCTCCAGAGGGTAGGGGCTGCAGCAGAGGAGGTCTGCTTCCTGGGTCTCACTAGGTGACATGGTTTCATAGAAGAGACCTGAAGCATGCTCCCTGCTGGATCTCGTGAGATGGACAGAGATGAGACTTGATGAGTTGAAACTGGCACTTTGAAACAGCACCCAGATTCGGAACAGAGCCCAAAAAATAGCTTTAGCATGTTCAAAATGACATAAAAATTTTTTTGGGGGGGGGAGGGCTTTAAAATCAGCTCAGTGTAGAGTGTATTGTAGAGTGATAAGGACATGAGTCACTAGCCAGAACCTCCCACTCCAAGTAGTGTAGAGTTGCAAGTGGCACACCAGCAGGAGCTGGGCTTCCATCTGCACACCCAGCAATAGCTGTGAGTCTGAACTTACAGATGTATTCCCTTTGGGGGGGCAGTGCCCCACCCTCAAGAGGCAACACTGGAGCTGACGGGACAGCAGTAAACAAGCAATAATT